TACATTGATCCTACAGTTGATGTGTTTCTACTTCCTACAAAGATCATTATAGAAGAAAATGTGATCAATATCACATTTATCTTTGCCCGAGATGATATCAAGATCAGTTAGTGTCTCCTATTCAAATCGACACCAGCATATCTTGTGAATTTGACCAACTTTTTGGTCATACCAACATTACACTTGAATCCCCACTGAGTTTTTGTTCTCAAATGGTCTTGTGACATCATTCAAAAGCTTTGAACACTAGGCAAAGAGCTTCAATGATTGAGAACGTCTGAGCAGAAGCCACAAAAAAGGATGAATGTGTTATCAAATGTTTTACGAACATCTGAGCAGAAGCCACAGGAAAGGATGAATGCACTATCAAATGTTTTACGAACCTGCTATTCTGATGCTGAACCAATATTACGATCATATGGTTTCCATTTATTGATCCAAGATGAAGTTTGTCTTCTTCAACCCAAGAGTAGAAGTGAGATATAATGAAGATTTCTTTCCAAGGAAAACTGAAAATTTTGACAACAAGAAACTAGTGGAGCCAACTATGATTGAACGACAGGTTGTGGTTAAGCATCTTGACATGATATTGGTCCAAGTTGCCTTATTCAAGATTTGATTAAATGTGGAGACATGAAAGGAATTGGAATAAATCTTCCTTTTGATGTATTTCAAGAGTCAAATCAGAACAGACTCTACTCCCCTAATTAATCCCTGTTGAGTCAGTCATATCTACATCTACACTCTTCAAAGATAATAGATTCTCACTTCAAAGATGACAAATTTTCTTTTTAAAGATGATAGATTCTCTTTTCAAAGATGAAAGCTTTATGGAATTTCTACACAAGTCCAAGCAAAGAAAATTGGTTTTATCCAAGACAAAATGGGACATCAAGGTCATAGTTCTGACTACAGCAAGAGTTCCACAAATGAAACATTTCTTCTGAGACCTTCATGAAGCAAAGAAGACAGTAAAGATACAAGTTGATCAGATGATTCTGCAGAAATGCAAGCTTGATAACATAAGTTGCTACATTGATATCCAGAAGTAACCATGGCAATAAATGATGAACTAGAGGAAGACCAAGTTCACCACTTTGAAGTCAAATGAAGATTGCATCAACATTCATGCATTCATAAGAATATCATTTACACAATAGACAATGCATTACATTGATACATCTGAGTGCATTCAAACATGAAGTTTTACAGATCTTCGGAAGAACAAGAAGATTCATGGTAAGAAATACCTTACAAGAAGAAGGTATTCAAAACCGCAAATACAGGAATCATACAAACATCTGAAGAAGTGATAGATGCAATCCACAAGAATGAAAATTATCTTGAGATTAGGGCATGTTACCCAATCAATATGTTATTTTGAAACATAATGAGAAAACGATTTTCATAGTTTCTCATTTTATCTTTTCTAAAATGAAATTGTTGAAAAGTAAGAAAACGACTTTCTTAGTTTTTACTTAGTAAACTATTTCTCACATCTGTAAGTCCTACAGTGCATGATGTTTCCAAAAAAGCCTTCGGGTCATCTGTAAGTCCTTCAGTGCATGATGTTTCCAAAAAGCCTTCGGGAGCTTTTTGATGTTTTCAAAGCCTTCGGGTCATCTGTAAGTCCTTCAGTGCATGATGTTTCCAAAAAGCCTTCGGGAGCTTTTTGATGTTTTCAAAGCCTTCGGGTCATCTGTAAGTCCTTCAGTGCATGATGTTTCCAAAAAGCCTTCGGGAGCTTTTTGATGATTTCAAAGCCTTCGGGTCATCTGTAAGTCCTTCAGTGCATGATGTTTCCAAAAAGCCTTCGGGAGCTTTTTGATGTTTTCAAAGCCTTCGGGTCATCTGTAAGTCCTTCAGTGCATGATGTTTTCAAAAAGCCTTCGGGAGCTTTTTGATGTTTTCAAAGCCTTCGGGTCATCTGTAAGTCCTTCAGTGCATGATGTTTCCAAAAAGCCTTCGGGAGCTTTTTGATGTTTTCAAAGCCTTCGGGTCATCTGTAAGTCCTTCAGTGCATGATGTTTCCAAAAAGCCTTCGGGAGCTTTTTGATTTTTCAAAGCCTTCGGGTCATCTGTAAGTCCTTCAGTGCATGATGTTTCCAAAAAGCCTTCGGGAGCTTTTTGATGTTTTCAAAGCCTTCGGGTCATTTGTAAGTCCTTCAGTGCATGATGTTTCCAAAAAGCCTTCGGGAGCTTTTTGATGTTTTCAAAGCCTTCGGGTCATCTGTAAGTCCTTCAGTGCATGATGTTTCCAAAAAGCCTTCGGGAGCTTTTTGATGTTTTCAAAGCCTTCGGGTCATCTGTAAGTCCTTCAGTGCATGATGTTTCCAAAAAGCCTTCGGGAGCTTTTTGATTTTTCAAAGCCTTCGGGTCATCTGTAAGTCCTTCAGTGCATGATGTTTCCAAAAAGCCTTCGGGAGCTTTTTGATGTTTTCAAAGCCTTCGGGTCATCTGTAAGTCCTTCAGTGCATGATGTTTCCAAAAAGCCTTCGGGAGCTTTTTGATGTTTTCAAAGCCTTCGGGTCATCTGTAAGTCCTTCAGTGCATGATGTTTCCAAAACGCCTTCGGGAGCTTTTTGATGTTTTCAAAGCCTTCGGGTCATCTGTAAGTCCTTCAGTGCATGATGTTTCCAAAAAGCCTTCGGGAGCTTTTTGATGTTTCAAAGCCTTCGGGTCATCTGTAAGTCCTTCAGTGCATGATGTTTCCAAAAAGCCTTCGGGAGCTTTTTGATGTTTTCAATGCCTTCGGGTCATCTGTAAGTCCTTCAGTGCATGATGTTTTCAATATTTCAATCCTACTCAAAAGAAGCCGAATGAAAATTATTGTCTTTTTCGTCTTTGCTCTATTCTTGTTAACACAAGAATGAACAAAGAGGGGCAGCTGTAGACACTAATTTTTCATTATATTATTTTAATTATTATTATTATTAAATAAAATATATTATTATATATATATATATTATTATCATTAAATAAAATAATAATAATAATAATAATAAAATATACAAAGCCCAAAATTGGGGCCCGATTATAATTAGCCCAGCAGAACCCAAACCCTTTAGGGTTTATAACATTCTGCTAGGGTTTTTTAAACCCTAGCTTCCAGACGCGGTGCCACCCCTGAAGCCACCCCGACGACCGACTCTCTGATGCCAGATGGTCCAACCAGTTGCTGCCGACGCTGCTGCTTCCACGACGCCGACCTCGTCGAGCTTTCCAGAAGCCAGCTGCCTCACCAAATCAGTGCTCTATGGTGAGTCACCGCCATAGCTTGGTGACTCACCAAAGATGCTACCCATGGGACCGGTCCGAGGAGTACACTGTGGTGGCTATAAAAGCCACCACTGAACCTGAAAAAAAACGGGAGGAAGGACAGAGAGCAACGGAGAACACGAGAGAAACGAGGACATCCAGCAAAGAAAAGAAAAAAAAAAGAAGAAGAGAACAGAGGAACTTACTCTGTCATCGGAGAACCCCAAACGTCACCGGAGAACCGAAATACCGAAGGTGAAAATCGTAGATTTACGATATATTATAGGGTTTTAGGTTAAAATAACCTTAGATCGGACCTTAGGACGTTTAGATCTACGCTTTGGGGGTGTTTTTAGTAAATTCCGACCACCGTTTACGGTGGCCGGCGGCGGAGTACGGTGGCCTATGGCTGCCGGTTTCCCTCCGGCGAGGGAAACTAGAGAGAAACCAGAGAGAGAACTCTGGTTCTCTCATTCAGAGAAAGAAAGAAAAGAAAGAAATGGGAAAGCTTGGCCCTTCGGGCCAGGCGTTTAGGTTTTATAAACCCTCCCCTGAACGACGTCGTTTTGGGGAGGGTATCTGTGTAATTTAAGAAAGGGTAAACCCTTTCCGCAACCCTTATAGTTCTGTAACTTTGCAATTTAGTCACTGAAATTGACTTTTAATCATTTTAATTTAGTGTTTAAATTTTATTTTATTATATTTTAACCATTAACTGTATTTATATATATATTTAGGAAAATATCAAATTTAGTCCCTCATAGTTTATTAATTATTATTTTAATCATTTATTAATTAATTAGGTTAAATTACACTATTAATCATTATCTTTCATAATATTTCGAATTATTATCTTTATTTTTAATACTTTATATTTAGTTTTATAATTTTTGAATTTCTTTTATTTTGATCATTATTTAATTACAATATTATTTTGTTATTACTTTTATATTTTAATTATTGCTTTAATTATTATTTTATTATTATCTTAATCATATATATATATATATTTTTAATAATAATGTTTATTTATTTTCGATATCAAAGAAAAGGGCAGTCTTAATATAACTGGATTTCCTATTCTGGATATTTTAAAATAATTAAATATTATAAAAATTATAATTTAGTTTTATTTAAAATATTAAAATTTTAATATATTTTTATCAAAGAAGAGAGCTGTCTTAAGATACCTAGAAGCCATTTTCTGATATTTTTGAATAAATAAATATCTTACTATATTAAAATAAATTTTTGTCATAAAAAATGTTTGTCATTTATTTATTTCTTTAAATATCAAAGAAAAGAGCTGTCTTAAGGCACCTAGAAGTCCTTTTCATATATTTTTAAATATTTTTTATAATTTTGAAATAATAGTATTATAAATTAAATATATTTTGAATTTTTTAAATTTATAATAATAGAGACAATTTATAATTAAAAAGTACCAATTTTTGGGCGTTGTAGGGGTGCTAATCCTTCCCTAAACGTAACCGACCACGAATCCTTTTTTATTATTAAAAAGAACGAATTTTTGGTTATAAACGCAGATCAGTTCATTTTTTTATTTGATGTTTTCTTAAAACTCTTTTAAAAAAATAATTTTTTAGGTATTCGACCTACCTGACCCAAAAGGCCGATGGCGACTCCTAAATTATTTTCAAAACCATTTATTCACTTCAATTTTCCCGCCAAGTAAAAAATTCGTGCCCGGACGAAAACCGGTTACGACAGGACCCGTGAAGAAGGCAATGAAAGATGCTGGTTTGAAGAAGCGCCAAATCGATGAGATTGTTCTTGTAGGTGGAAGCACTAGAATTCCCAAGGTCCAACAGCTCCTTAAGGACTACTTCGATGGAAAGGAGCCCAACAAGGGTGTTAACCCAGATGAAGCTGTTGCTTATAGTGCTGCAGTACAAGGAGGCATCTTGAGGGGAGAAGGTGGTGATGAAAGCAAAGGTACAATTTCATCTCCTTTAATTTTCTATATTGTAACTACACAAGCCTATAGCTGATGCAAAGACTATTCTAACTGAATCCAACTATGTACATATATTCTTCTTCTTGATGTGGCTCCACTTACCCTCGGTATCGAGACTGTTGGTGGAGTAATGACCAAGTTGATTCCTAGAAACACCGTTATCCCTACCAAGAAGTCTAAAGTTTTCACCATTTATCAGGATCAGCAAACCACCGTCTCCATTCAGGTACATCTAACACGATTATCATTAGAACATGAGAATTGGATTTCTTTTCTAATGCCAAGAACTGGAATGCTTTGAACCTATGTAACATGGACTCTGACCGAATGCGTCCAATGCGGATATGAAGTATCGAATTCCACTTTTCGATATGTGTTGATACAATTGTGGTTTGATATCAGGTCTCTGAAGGTGAACGGAGTCTCACAAAGGACTGTAGGCTGCTAGGGAAGTTTGATCTTACTGCAATTCCTTCAGCTCCAAGGTTTGCTCCTCTCTTCCATAAACTCTCTTTTCTTTTCTGATATGCTTTCTGCAAACCTTCACCCGAATTCACCGGAACTTATTGGTTGATCTTTCAATTCCTAAGGGGACCCCTCAAATCGAAGTTACATTTGAAGTTGATGCAAATGGTATCTTAAACGTCAAGGCTGAAGACAAAGGAACAGGGAAATCAGAAAAGATCACAATCACCAACGACAAGGGTCGTCTAAGCCAAGAGGAAATCGAGAGAATGGTTCGCGAGGCCGAGGAATTCGCAGAGGAGGACAAGAAGGTGAAGGAGAAGATTGATGCTCGCAACAGCTTGGAGACGTATGTTTACAACATGAAGAATCAGATTAGTGACAAGGATAAGCTTGCTGGCAAACTCGAATCCGACGAGAAGGAGAAAATCGAAACGGCAGTGAAGGAGGCCCTTGAGTGGCTTGATGACAACCAGAATGCCGAGAAGGAAGATTTTGAGGAGAAGATCAAGGAGGTCGAGGCTGTTTGCAATCCTATCATCACGGCTGTATATCAAAGGTCTGGTGGAGGCCCTGGCGGTGCTGCATCAAGTGAAGAAGAAGATGATTCACATGATGAACTCTAGAAAAAGAATCAAGTGATGAAAAAAAAAAAGACAAGAACCTTAGAATTTGGGTGAAATGAGACACTGTACTAATTTTGGTAGAATTTTTTTAAAAAAAATTATTGATTGTGTTATGATTTTGCCAGTTAAAATGTATATTTTTAAATTTAATTCCTTTATTTTATGAAAATTATGAACTGCTCTATTTTTATTTGCTAGAACTTAAAACTCGTATTTTATGAAAATTAAGAAATTAATCCGATTGGTGGTAAATAGGAGGGAAAATTAAGAAATTAATCTAGATATGCATTAATGTTCAGGAGAGAAAATTAAAATGTGTAAAGGGACTTTCCTTTTTGGTTCCGATTGAGTACATGATTATTAGGATCACAAACAAACGTCCAGTGAATCATTTGATAGAAAATTAAATAAACGTTCATTTAATTAAATTAACGAACATAAACAAATGACTCATTCGTTCATTACGTTTGTGAACGTTTGGCAATCTATTATTTTATGCTCGTTCATTTATGCTTGTTTATATTTATTTTTATTTATTCGTTTAGATTCAGTCTAACATTCAAAACCGTTTAAAATATTAAAACCTAATAAATTTTAACCTTAAAGCTATTAATATATTAAAACCCAATTAATTTTAAACTCAAATAAAAAAAATACTCAAATCCAATAAAAATATATAAACCCTAAAATTATTTGAAAGAAAAAAACTTTTCTCAAATACAAAATCAATTAATTTTATGTACGTTTGTTTATGTTTGTTTATATTTGTTTATGCTCGTTCGTTTACGCTTGTTCGTTTACATTTGTTTATAATTTTAGCGAACGAACTACATTCTTTAACGAATGAACACGAACAAGAAATTTCATTTGTTTATTCGACTAAAATTAGACAAACGAATATACAAATGAATATAAACATACCTTCGTTCATGTTTGTGCAATAGGCCTAATGATAAGAGAAGGCTTGTTGAGATTTAAATAAACAAAAAACAAAAAAACTAGCGACAGACAGATATTGTTGAGAGATGGATCGGAGTCAAACATGTTGTCTACAAGAAACATACACGAGAATACGTGGAAAGTGTGCTGAATATGGCGATAGTGACAGGATGGATCGAGGTGTGGATGAATATTTTTGAAAATTTTAAATTATAATATATTTTATATTTTTTATATATTCTTTTATTAATAATTTATTTTTATTGTCTTTGAATCTAATAAATTTATTCTTTAATATACAATCATATATTCATCCTTAAATAATGACAATTATAAATCCTAGATATCATCTGCGTCTCATTCTTATTATAATCTGTATCGTTTAGATTTAGGGACAAATTTGATCGAATATAGATATTTGTCCAACGTAGGAATGATCGTATTATCATATTTATGTCCAAATGCTTGTCCGAACTTTTGGTTGTGTTGTAAAAGCATATGAGTTTTGGATGGTCAAATGGAGTCGTGTTGATATTCTCGAGAAATTTGGCTGGCCGGAAGATCAAAACATAGAATGCAACTAAGCTTTCAAAATCGTCGACCAAGGCTGAGAAATTGAAGTAAAAGAGAGTTATCGTCAGAAAGTTAAAAAACAAGGCGGCTTGGTAAAGTGTTTATTTTGATCCGTTGACTGTCAAAAGCAGCAAATATAGAGGGGAAGGATGAAATTCAAGTCTGTTAATACCTTACAAAGTATATATAAATGAAGCGTTTTGGTATAACATGTACTTTAGGGTATTTGCAAGATTAGTCCTTAAACTTCAACTATAAATACCCTCATTCATTTAGTTTCAAAACCATCTCATTTCATTCTAACTTTCTCACAATACTAGAGAAATTAGAGAGTCTTCTTGAGAATTGTTTTCTCTTTTTTATCAAGAGAGAATTGTCATTGTTTTCTCTTTGTTAGATCGAGACAAGTTGTAATTCCTATTTTCTCATAGTGAAATTCTTTTACCTTTGTCCGTGATTTTTACCCTATATTATTTAAGGGTTTTCCACGTAAAATTTGTGTCTTCTTTAACTTCATCTTTATTTTCTAAAATTATCAGTTACGATTTTGCTCTACCCGATATTCGTATTCCGCAACAGGTTTCACCCACGTAGGGAACCAATCTTTGTACGTCGGTTCCTTGTAAGATGCCTTGTTGAGAGCCAGGGTGTTACTGATTAGCTCGGACACGTTATTTGGCATCATGGGAGTGTTGCGGAAGACGACTATCGGATAGAGCAAAATCGCAACTGATAATTTGAGAAAATAAAAATGAAGATAAAAAGAGACACAAAATTTACGTGGAAAACCCCTAAATTAAATAGGATAAAAACCACGGGCAATGGTAGAAGAATTTCACTATGAGAAAATAGGAATTACAACTTCTCTCAATCTACCAAGGAGAAAACAATGATAATTCTCTCTTGATAAAAAGGAGAAAACAACTCTCAAGAAACTCTCTAAATTCTCTCTAGTATTGGAAGAAAACTAGAATGCTTTGGGATGGTTTTGAAGCTAAATGAGCTAGGGTATTTATAGTTGAAGCTTAAGGACTAATTAGTAAATACCCTAAATTACAATGACTAAAATTGAGATTTTACCATTGTTGATTTTCAACAAATAGTCAACCCTTTTTTACAAAATTGGTGGCTGCCACCGAAAGTGGCTTGGCCACTTGTTTATTTTTCAACAATCTCTCACTTGAAGATTTGATTGGAACAATCATATCTTCACACCATTCTTTCTACCTTGTACCATCATGTTTCTTATGTCTCTGACAGGCCACAAGAGGATCGACACCAAGTAAATTTATCAGCGTTGATCGCCTTTGTCATGAAATCTTCTATGTTGTCTTTGGTATGGATCTTCTGCATATCTATTGTCCCTTCTTCCACCTTTTCACGAATGAAATGATACTGAAATCGTATGTGTTTTGTCCTTGAATGAAATGTTGGATTCATTGCTAGATGCAAGGCGCTTTGACTGTCACAAAACAGAGAGATATACTTTTGATTGTGCCCAAGCTCCTTCAATAACATCTTCAACCAAATTGCTTCTTTATTGGCTTGTATAGCTGCTACATATTCTGCTTCTGTTGTGGATGTAGCCACAACTAACTGCAACTTAGAAACCCAGCTTACAGCTCCATCAGCAACTTTGAACACATATCCTGTTGTAGATTTGCTTTTATCCAAATCCCCTGCATAGTCAGAATCTACATACCCATTGATTAGTAAGTTTGATCCTCCGTAACATAATGCAACATTTGAGGTCCCTTTGATGTATCTCAGGATCCTCTTTACTGTATTCCAATGCTCTTTGCCTGGATTCACCATGTACCAACTAACCACTCCCACTGCTTGTGCAATGTCTGGTATTGTGCATATCATAGCGAACATTAAACTTCCCACTTCTGATGCATACGGTACTCGAGATATCTCCATCATCTCTTCTTCACTGCTAGGACTCATACTGGAGGATAATTTGAAGTTAATAGGAAGAGGGGTAGAAATTGGCTTACAATCTTGCATGTTGAATCGTGACAAGATCTTCTTCAAGTAATTCTTTTGTGAAAGCCAAATCTTCCTATTACTTCTGTCTCGGTGAATTTGCATCCCTAGAATCTTGTTTGCTGATCCCAAGTCCTTCATTTCAAATTCCCTAGCCAGTTGTGCCTTCAATTCTTCAATATGATCTTTGTTGGGTCCTGCAACCAACATGTCATCCACATACAACAACAATATAACAAAATCGTTATCACCAGACCTCTTAAAATAAGCACAAGGGTCTGCATTAAGTCTGTTGTATCCAAGGCACATAATGAAGGAATCAAATCTCTTATACCAACACCTCGGCGCCTGCTTTAGACCGTACAGAGATTTGTTCAACCTACAAACCAAGTTCTTCTTTTCTTCTTTTTTAAAACCTTCAGGTTGGAGCATATAAATCTCTTCTTCAAGATTTCCATGAAGAAAAGCTGTTTTAACATCTAACTACTCTAGATGTAAGTTTAATGTAGCACACATTGCCAAGACTACTCGAACTGTTAGTCGAACCACAGGAGAAAAAATTTCATTGAAATCAATACCTTCTTTTTGAGCATATCCTTTGACCACCAGTCTTGCACGATACCTCTCCACTTGATCGTCACCATTTCGCTTGATTTTGAAGACCCATTTGTTACCAATTGGCTTCCTTCCTTGTGGTAGTGCCACAAGGTCCCATGTATTATTTTTATGAAGGGCTTCAATTTCTTCTTGCATCGCCATCATCCACAGTGAAGCATCTGAGTTGTTTATTGCCTCCTGGTATGTTGATGGCTCACTGTCCTCTGTTAAAAGGCAATATGCAATATTACCTTCTATAACATAATCTGAGTGCCAATTGGGACGTCTTCTCACACGATCTGATTGACGAGTTGTTGGAGCTTCAGAACTCTCTGGTTCTTGTTCATCATCTGCTGGTTCTGCTTCAGAAGAATCTCCTTGTTCAAACTCTTTTTCCACATGTATCTGAGTAGTCTCTGACTTTTCAGCGCTTTCATCGTCTTCTTTTCTTTGTAGTTTATCTTCTACAAAGATAACATCTCTACTGATGATCACTTTGCGGGCAGTGGGATCCCACAAGCGATACCTTTTTACTCCATCAGCATATCCCAAGAATTTGCATTTCCTGGATTTTGGATCCAACTTTGAAATTTCTTGGGAGTTGTACATCACGTACACTATACTTCCAAATACATGGAGGTTTGAATAATCAGCTGGTTTTCCAGTCCACATCTCATTGGTGTCTTCAGCTCTATTGCAGTTGATGGAGCTCGATTCACCAAATAACAGGCGGTATTGGCTGCTTCTACCCAAAATGATTTTTCTAGGCCTGCATCCCTCAACATTGCTCTTGTTATTTCTAACAAGGTCCTGTTCATCCGCTCTGCCACTCCATTTTGTTGAGGAGTATTCGCCACTGTGAACTGTCTTTTGATGCCTTCTTTCCTGCAAAAGTCATCAAATTCT